ATATCCAGATGATTTTTTCGATCGGCTCACAGAAAATAAAGTGGGCGTTAACACATTGGCATCATGCTGTAAATACAAACAACACTGGAAAACTGTAGTGCCAGGTTTCTTAACCACTGGTCCTGTGGCAGGGAAACAGCCTGGTCCCTAATGAGCCGCTGCCTGGAACCGAACCCGATGGCCGTGAAATACATCGATGGCTTCCCAAAATTGGTGAGGGGATCTCCACCCAGCTCGCTGACATGATAAATTGATGAATCGCTGGGCCTTGTGACCGGAATGACTGAGAAAGCCTGCTGTAATGGACACCTTGTAGTGATATTTAGCACTGCTTCCTCAAATCAGGGTGTGGCAAAATCGTTTTCCTAATGTAGCCCAAATTAATCTCGATTAAAACATAATTAGTAAGCCTAAAAAAACCTACTTCATTGCTTTTACAATAAAAAACACAATGTTTTACCAAGAAGCAAAATCAGAATGACGATGCTCTTAAAATCTTTTCACACAACAGATGTTTACCACTTTTCCATTTATTTCATAAACTTTAAATAAAGTTTCTGAAATAAACTTTAAGGAAAATATTTTTATTTTAAATAAAAAATATATGTAAAATAAAACAAGTTTAGTTTATAAAATGGAAAAAGTATGTAACAGTGTATGTCTGATCCTATTAGCTGGTTGTGAGCTGATGGCATAGTCAAATTCTAAGCTAAAGAATACTGAGTGTATTTTTAGTAAATGTTAAATGAGTAACATGCAAATGTAGAAAATTCTCAGTGTGTGCGAAACTTTTGACTTAGCTTTTATTTTTAATGTTTTTATTTTATTGTGATTTATTTATTATTCAATTATATTTTTTAAACATTTTATTTGCTATTGTAACATGCTATAAGATGCATGTAGCCTCATACCTCCAGATTTTTGGGGTTGATTCCTGTAGCAGCAGTCTGTATTGTATCTTTACTGTCTGTACTGAATGCTTACTGTATTTGTGTACAGTCTCTGTATTTGTGTGAGGTTGATTCCTGTAGCAGCAGTCTGTATTGTATCCTTA